AGGTCATGATCCCAGGGTCCTGGGATCGAGCCCCGCATCGGGCTCCCTGCTCAGCGGGAAGCCTGCTTCTCCCTCTCCCACTCCCCCTGCTTGTGTTCGCTCTCTCGCTGTGTCTCTCTCTTCGAATAAATAAATAAAATCTTTAAAAAAAAAAGTGTGCTTTACAAAATACCCATAAGATATATAATAAAACCATAATAATGATAGCTAAAATTTATTAATTTTTTTTTTTTTAGCAGTGGGCAGCAAAGTTTATTGAGCAATAGTACTGAGTGATATTACAAAGCTCCCGAAGAGAGAGGGGACCCAAGAAGGTTGCCCTAAATAATTTCTATGAAGCTTGGCACTTTACAAGCATCAATTCAATTAATCCTTACAACAACAACTTAAAGTGATATATCATAATCCTCTCCATTTTATAGATGAGAAAACTGGGGCTAAGGATAACTTGCCAAGGGTCAAACAGCTAGTAAATGGCAGAGGTAAAGCTGTGAGGGGTTCATCATTGTTGTTGGTGTTGTTTTGTCATTTGAACAGGTAACAGCCAAGAAGTTCATCCAAGACTAAGATACAGGTCTTACTTTATGTAAGATGTGTCTGTTAGAGCTGCATCCTGGACACAGAGTGTGAGGTGGGAGAGAATGTGTTAGATTAAAAAAATGGCTACCTGAAGAATTAAATGTGTTTTAGAAAAACTAAAATTATATCAGAGAGTTTCATCATTTTAGCCTCCAAATTATCCAAGTAAAGAAATGACTTGCTAGGAATGGAGGAGACTGCCAGCTATTCACCAAAATCCATTTTCCCCTTCTTATGTGGCTGCTCAGCCAGGAACTACATTTCCCAGCCTCCTTTGCATCTAGTTAGAGCCATGTGACTATGTTCTCAGCAACAGAATGTGAACAAAAGTGACATGGATGGTCTCCAGACTTGGGTCTTAAAACATAGGGCTTGGGCTGGGCTCCTCCATGTTGTCTTTCCCCTTCCTGTTGGCTGGAGAATATGATGTGACAATCACACAATCTAACAATGATCAGGGGTTTAGCCATGCAGATGAGGACAACATCCTAGAGGGTGGCAGAGCAACAAGATGAAAGGAATCTGGGTCCTTTCCAGATCTTGTGGGACAAAGACAGCCTAAAATGGGTAGAAGATTATGTGAGAGAGAAATATATTTCTTTTTTTTAAAGATTTTTATTTATTTGACAGAGAGAGACACAGTGAGAGAAGGAACACAAGCAGGGGGAGTGGGAGAGGGAGAAGCAGGCTTCCC